CATGCAGACGACGTCACCTCCGTCACCCAAATGGCTCCTCCCAGCATAATCCTTTTGCTGTTATTACACTAATACACACATTATATATAAGTATCTACATTTGTGTTCACCATAGAGAACCACTGAGCTGGCATGGTGAATGCAGAAAATAACAGGTGGCCACACAGTCAGTAAACGATGAAATCTCCCTCCGTCTCTCAGCATAACTCGTCCCACAGCACTAATTATTACAACAATCCTGCTACTATCACAACCCTGGTTATTTATATCACAGTCAGGGGTCATCTGTAATATTGTCATCGCTAAATAATAGCAATTATATATTTATTTCGACATTTTTCGGCGATGCTGTGGTCACAAGTTGAACAGCAATACTGTTCGCTCGTGCTGCGTGCGCCGGCCTTGGTTGCTCCAACAGTACTGTGCCTCTCACACCTGAGAATATTGCCCTCGATTTTTGTAAAAAATGGCGTCTGTTTACAAGAGCCCTGAGGAAGCAAATGTGAACCCCGTGTAGCCGCGGCCCATTTGAATCGGGCCTGGCACCCTTGGGTGTATATATACGCCATGCGCACGGTGGGACATTTTACTCAGGGCGTATATATATGCCATGCGCAGTTTAAGGGTTAAATACCATATTAATATCCCCTTCCTACATCCACTCGACCCATTTTAGCCTAATTAAACGTCTAGCCATTTCCAACATTCAGTCCTCATATAACCTACCCATTTTAATTTTGCCCCGAGGGGCGAGTTTATTGGGCAGCGCCACTCACTCTGTGAGTGGACACGCGACCATAGCAGCATGTACAACACTCCCCAAAACGAAGGAAACCCGCTGGGTTGTTCATCCTGTCACTTGTACCCAGACACAGCTGGGACTTGCTTAACTGTCTCAAGTGAACAGCTCCTCAAACAAGAAGATTAACATCTGTCAACCCTTATAAGCTTACGTTATCTTGCGGGTGCAAAATGGGGGAATCTTTTAAGAACAGTTTCAATATTTGACACATAGTGTTTTCCTAACCCAAACAATGTGGGGTTCATTATTCTACACATATTTCTAATGTCTCTCAGGTATTCACATTCACGTAGATAGTGTTCAAGCCGGTGTCCGTCACTTTCATCACAAGTTCAGCAACTTCGCTGATCAACAGTCATTTCCATTCTGTATCTCCATGGATATTTGTATCACAGATAGATACTCGCTATTACTGATTCTCGCCCGCGTCCTCCTCCTATTCGTCCATAATGATTGGGACTGCCAGCTGCAACCATGTTGTACCATCGTACAGATTCAGTGGTTTGTGCTTCTATCCTCCTTTCCTCAGTTACCGTGTCTCGGTGATGTTGCCTGACAATATCTCTAATTTGTAGTAGAGTCTTGGGTATGACGTATTCAATATGGTCTCCTTCAGCGCCTTCTGCAGCCAGCACATCTGCTCGTTCATTCCCACATATTCCAACATGGGAGGGGATCCACAGAAACTTGATGACTCTTCCCTGATTGGTACGTATTCTCACAGCTCTCTTAATATCAGCGACTATTGCAAGATATTCTGCCCTATTTTTACTTAGGCTTTGCAGTGCTGCTTTTGAATCAGTGCAAATCACTGCACCATTAGTGTTCCGTTCAAGAAACCTTAACGCCATAACAATGGCAGTTAGCTCTGCTTGCGTTGAAGAGGCATAGTTCTCAATACGCGCTTTTTCTTCATTTCTGCGTTGGAAAGTATTATCCTTGATTACCGTGTATGCTGCACTAGCCCTTCCATTGACAAGATTAGATGACCCGTCAGTGTAGATTTGATCTAGTTCATCTCCGGCTTCTTTATAAATTTCCTCGAGATACTTGTGCCTCATTTCTTGTGGTAACATGTTGGATTTTTGCATTGCCATTTCATTGATGATAATCTTGCATGAGTCATCCTCCCAGGGAGGTATCCTCTCTACAGGGAGGAGCTCATGGGCTTGCTCAAGCAGGTGAAACTTTTTGAGGTAGCGGACTGATCTGTGATGCCATTTTTTGTTTCTCTTGTTTCCAACTGAAAGTAACACAGTGCTCAGTTTTTTTCTTAGCAATATCATTGCAATGGGGATCTCTGGCTATCCTAATTGCAAGCTTAGCATTCAGCTCCTTAATTCTGCTTTTAACACTTGGGAAGGACAGCTCCTCTCGTAGATTAGACATTTTGGCAGTTCTTGAACAATCGTGAACAATCAAAGAATGATTGTCATGGCTTCATTTTGAATGCTTTCAAGCCTTTTCATATCTCTTTGGGAGTAGGTGCACAGAACTGGTGCGGCGTAGTCTAAGACGGAGCGCACATAGGCTGTGTACATCATTTTAAGCATGGCAATAGAGGCTCCATGTCCATTCCAGGTCATAGCTTTCAGTGCCCTGAGTCGACTTTTGCATGTTCCTATGAGTTGATTGAGCTCCTCTTTCTTTCCCTTGTTAGAGCCGACAGTGACTCCAAGGTACCGATAGTAGTCAACCCATTCAAGTGTTACAACATTAATTTGCAGTTTTTCATTTACTCTCCGCTTGTGATGGGAGTATGTCTTCGTCTTGTTTGTGGAGAGAGTGAAACCGAGCTCAATACATTTCCTTCCAAGGAGTTCAATGGCTGTTCATTTTTTTCCCAAGGTGGAAGCTTGTATTAGGACATCATCTGCATATCCCACTTGTTGTGTTCCTTCCGGAAAATTAATATTTGCAATTGCGTTCAAAAGTACATTGAATAGTGTAGGGCTTAAGACTCTGCCTTGGGGGATCCCGAGTTCCATATTCATTGTTCTGGAGACTGCTCCATTGAAGCAAACCTTGGCTTTCCTCCCAGTGAGGTAGTCTTCAACCCTTTTCATGAGTCTCCCTTTGACATCCATGCATGCAAGCTCGTCCAGGATCGCAATCCCCAGTGCTTTGTCGAAGGCTCCTTTGATGTCAACAAATACAGAGTACCTAGCCGTGTCATTAGGCAAGTAATTAACAATACAATTTGCTGTGCTCCGTCCTTTAACAAATCCATTGACCCTCTCCCCTAACCTGCCTATTTTATGCAACAGTCGATTTAGGATAATCCTTTCAAGCATCTTACAAGTGCATAACACGAGACTGATAGGTCTGTAATTACCAGTCATTGGGCTTCGGTATGGGAACAATTATTGCTTGTTTCCATTGTGTAGACAGCACTCCACTTAGGAATGACTTGTTTAACAGGAGTAGCAGTGGATTCCCAGACACTTCACACAGTGCATTGAGTATGTTGTAGGTGATGCCATCTTCACCGGGTGCAGTACTTTTACCCTTTTTCATAGCGCCCCTTACTTCCTGAGCTGTGATTGGTTCCCCATATTCGTCATCACTAGACAGTGCTTTTGTTATCCTAATTCTTTTGTCATCATGTCGCAGGAGCTTTTCCCTGCTGATTTCTGCAGGGAGGGAGGAGGAGGAGGATGCTGCATAACTCCACTTGGGAATTAGTTCTTCAGCCTTACCCTGGGGGTCTTTGTGAGCCACAGGCCGGGTTTTGCCCCCCTTACCTATCTGAGTTTTTGCCCACACTTGTCTTGCAGATGTTTCCCGTCCAATAGAGCTAGTGAATGTAAGCCATTGTCTTTCCCGCTCTTTAATCTTCTCTTCCCTGGCTACTTGACACACAGTTTTAAACAACTCTTGGTTGCTCTCAGTGAGATGTCACCGGTACTCTCTACTCGTGTCTCTTAAATTTGCGTTAAGCATCTTTATGTAATCGTACTCATACCATTTTATTTTCTTCCTCTGAGGGTTACTTTGCCTAGGCGTACGGCGCGGAACTCTGAGACAGCTCTCAATTTGGTGATTAAGGTCATCAACAAATGTATCAATGTCTTCTGGGATTGTTAATACTATTTTTGCTCTATTGAAGATGACCCAGACATGCTATTTTCAACAACCAGTCCACTCATAACCTACCCACATTTTTATTGTCATTTTCACTCTGTTAGTGATGTTGCCTTCTAGCTATTTCCAATAACCAAATAACCAGTCCCCTTCACAGCCTGCCTCATTCTTATCACCATTTGTGACTGTTGGTGGAGTGTCCTTCTAGCTATTTTCCACATTCAGATGTGTTGTTTTATTTTGGCATCAACTGAATCTAACTCAAGCTGACCTCCCCTATCCTAGCTTGACCTAACACAACCAAAGCAACATTTACCTTGGACTTTACCTCTAATACAACACTATCTTATGAAAGTGTGGATTTTGGATATAAACCTAACTAACCAGTACCTAACCTGCATGGATCTTTGTTCAATATTGTAACTATATTGTAATGAAAAGGTTGTTTTTAATCATCAACTCTACCACGCTGTACCTAACCTCTATTACGCTTTCGCTTCTATGTCCAAAGAGTTTGGTAAAGGCAGGCTGGGAAGGGAAGAAAAGGGATGAGGAATTGAAACTTTTAAGGAGGATGTGGATAGGGAACGAGGTTGCTAAAAAGTTCCGTGGCCTATCCGCCGCATGATGTATTTTGCCATAAGGTATTTTGCCGTAAGGTAGTTCTCAAAGATTTTGATCTTGGCTTTATTCTTCTGACGAGTGTTTGGGCGGCGGGAAGCGGCGAGGTAGGCTGGGTGGGCTTAGTAGGTCAGCACCAGGGCTTGAGGTTAGGTGGGGAGTAGAATGGTGTGTAGGCGTTGGGTGGAGATGCCTCAGTCTTGGTTCTTCATCTGGCATCTTTCTTCTGCAGCAGGTGGAGGTTTTTCTTGTGTTCTAAGTCTTCTCGCACTTCTGAGTCTTCTGTTTTTTCTTCGTCTGAGACTTCCTTCTAGTTGACATGGCCGTGTTGTTGTTGGAGCTTGGTGAGGAAGCCTCAATGAGAAAGTCTTGCACAGAGTAATTGCTGAATTGTTGGTGATGGTGCTCCTACTGAGATTTTCTCGTCTGAAGAGTCCGAAGCGTCGTCTGGAGCCGATGGTTTAGTCTTTGGTCGAACAGCCTGGGTTGGATTCTAGTGTGGGGGAGTGGTGGTTGCAGCTATCGCTGGAGCGTTGGTGGTGCTGCTTGCAGATGTGTACAGTACATTGGCGAGCGCGTCAGCTGAGATGGTGTTAGGAGGAGCGTTGGGAGTTGGTGTGGTAGGTGTTTCTGTTTGTGCAGCTTGGGTCATGGGTGGTGCTGGAGTCTGGGTTGAGGTCGTCCTTGTAGTAGTCCTTGTGGTACTCACTATGGTGGAAGGAGAGGCAGTGAATCTGGCCTCAGGGGCGATGATGGGGTCCAAGCCGTTGGCAAGGTACAACGCGTTGAGTTTGGTGGCGAACAAGAGGTTATCTGCTCTGGTGAGCCTCTCTGCTAGACAAATGGGGTCCGAGAATGATCTCTTGGCAAGAGGTGTGGGGTCGAGAGGATGCTGATTGGTCCAATGAACAGGCTGTGATGTCTGGTGGCCATCCATTGTTTAATAAATAACAAATTGATATTTCCTCATGTCCATTTATCCACTTATATTCACTTCAATCATGGCACACATATATACATACATACATGTATACATACATACGTACATACATACATACATACATACATACATACATACATACATACATACATACATACATACATACATACATACATACATACATACATACATATATAATTTGATTTAATGGTGGTACCCTGCTTTTGCCAACATTACTCATTTACTTAGATGGGGTAATCTAACCCCATCAAATACCTAAGGTTAAGCATCTGGGGTTATAAGACACAGTTTGGGAAAGCTGGGAAGGCTTCTGGTTGGTTGCTGGGAGATGAGGTACTGGAGCTGGTGCTGGTGGTGCTGACGGTGGTGGAAGAGGTTTTGGCTTCCAGTGAATCGATCAGGTGTTCGATGACTTTCAGGCTGCGAGGGCAGTGGTGGGAAATCTCGGAGTAATCGCTATTCCATTTTAGGCAGCATTTGGTGTCTTCTTTACAGACTGAGTGGTGATGATACTGGGCTAAGATGCTGCACTTCACGATGGGTTCCTTACATTTACTGGTTGGGGTGCGTGTACTCATAGCACTTGAAGCACCCGTTTTATATCGTAGAAGCATTCCTTCGTCTCACGGTAGGGCGGGATATTGATGCCAAAGCAACTGGACCCTTGTGGAGTTGTCTGGGAAGCCAAGGCTGTTGTGGTTAGGGTTAACTTCATGGTTGAACACTTGCCTTCTGCGCGGCCGTGGAACACAGCTTGGCATAGCAACATGTTCGGGTTTTCGTACTCGTTGTTAGTTAGTATATTTACTATGTCTTGGTCCACCATCCAGAGGCTCGTCTCGCTACTACAGACGATTTGTGTGGCCAGGAACTGACGTGGATAGTTGAGACAGGTGTGCGTCACATTTTTTTTTTTTTACATGCATGCATGCAAGGGAAAAACAATAAATACAATAAATACTTGCAACTAAGAGAAGAAATGTAGACATTTACATACCACAGAGTATATCACAGGTTAAGAAATTAATTTGAAACAGAGCAATGCAAATGATGTACAGTGATCACAACACAGCAGTTGCAACATCAGGATCTGTAGGTTGGTACAAGAAGTCAACCAACTACGAACAACTTAGTTTGATGAAATGGAGCAGTCGAACAACAGAAGTACACTTACATCGCATCAGGCTTGGATTCCCATGTGTATGGGAAATAGGCTTACAATTTCCGGAAGATGAGAGGAAATATCAGCACTGTGGAGAAATGCCCGACAGACCACTGGAACATTATATAACACAGTACAAAGTTACAAACCCATTAAGATTTTAACTTAGATTCAACAGAGCAGAAGTTGTTAAACACATTGGACAAAATCTTACTGAAGCAATCATACGAGTCATAAATATGTAATATTTATGACTCGTATAATATAATTAATATGATTTAATAAGGATAATACAGTACTGTATTTGTAATAATACAAACTATAATTTAAAATCTTTATTACTGATTTTTTTTATTAAAAAGATTAGGTATACACAGCAATGTGCTGCTACCCTATTCAATATGGAATATTACACAGTGTAGATAAAAAACTAGCTATAAGTTTATCTAAACTCCCATCTCACAGGATGGTTAGACATACATGGAATCAAGGTAGAAAATACCAGCCTCAATACAAAAAACAAATCAACTCTTCACGATTTTCACAAGAGGTATGCACTGAATCATGGAAACATTATATTATAATTACTCTTACCAGTTTCTACAAGACTCCTCTCAAACAATGTATTTTTTAACATGTTTGGGTATACACAGCAATGTGCCGCTTCCCTATTCTGTACGAAGGACATGTGTAGATAAAAAACCAGCTACAAGCTCATTCAACATCCTCACCTCACAGAATGGCCAGTCATACATGTAATCAGGAGAGAACAAAATACTTAATGCTGATCTATTAGCCTCCACTGGCAAAATCTGGGTGCAGCACAAGAATATCTTCCAATATTCCTGAGTGTATGAAGTAATTGCAGAGCTCAAAGTACCCTATACCATTTGATATGAAGTCACTGATAACAGGGTAATCACAGATATAGTGTTGGAGAGTATGTTCTCTCAAGTAGGACTTAAAACAGATGTTTTTTTTTTTCCACCAAGAGGGCTATAAACCTATGAAACCACCTACCCGCTGAAGCCGTAAATGCCAAATTCAAGCTAAAAAATATCATTAAGACAATTGGCGGGCCCTTTAACAAGCCGCCGGCTTTCTGTCCTCGTCGAGGCCACTAAATAGTTAGTGGCTCTTGGGTAAATTCAGTAAATATATACAATAATTGTCAGCGCATCTTCCGAGCAACAAGGACAGCTACACAGTATCTCTTAGAATTACGTAGGTAAACAACAAATGTAACATATTTGTTTACTACAATGTCGGTGCTGCCTGTAGAAGTTGAAAAAACATTGTTTTACTTCGAAATATACTAATTTTATAAGAAAATTCGTAAATAGGAGGCAGTAGAGCTCAGCGCTAAATCTTCAATATGAAGAATGTTGCTGCTCTCTGATTGGCCAAACGAAACACAGTAGTGACCTCTATCGGCACACAGGTGAACCAACAAATTTCTTCCTAAGTGGACCTACCTGAATTGCACCTAAACGTCTTCTGAGGGCATACTTAGGAACCTTCGTAGCAAACCCACTTACGAAGAAATACGTGGAGCTTCGTGAATCTAGGTCCAGGGGTCCTGAGGACATTTACACCCCTCTGCGCAAGAAAAAAAAATCAAAATCTTTTTTCGTCTTCTAAACATGTTAATTTGTGTCCCCTGAGCACCGGAAAAAAATCGTAGGTGACATATTTTGGGTGCAAATGACCAAGGAAGTCTGGCAAAAAGTGGGCGTTAACAGAGCGGTCGTCAGAGCCGGTCAGCGTCACCCGCGCTGACAGATTGGAGTTGCCACAAAGATATTATCACTTAATTATTTCTATGTCTCTGATTGATTTTTTCTTAGTTTTTTTGCAGTAATATTATTCAATAATGTGTATTGTAATATATGTATATAATAAAAGTGGTGAATAATTGCTATACTCAAAAGTATAGTGTGCATATTAGTGATTCAATTATTATGTTTTTAAAATAATAAACAAATAGTTTTGCTGCTATTACACTCTATACACAGGTTATATATAAGTATCTGCATGTTTTGTTTACCATAACGAACCACTAAGTTGGTATTGAGAGTCGAAAAGCAACGAGGAGTTACCGCCACACACCAGCAACCACTCGTTGCCACTCCCTCAACAACGCCTCACTCGCCCACTTTTTCCTCCCACCATCCTGTTTTATATTTTACTCACAATATACAGACGTTATATATAAGAAACTACATGTTTTGTTTACCACAAGTGTACAACTAAGCTGATATAGTTAGTTCAGACACTAAGAGTCGTCGCTATACACACAGCTAGTGGCTGCCTCACTCACTCAAGGCCACACGCACTAAACTTTCTCCCCCAACAATACCGTTTGTGGTGTTATGACACTATATACAGACGTTATATATAAGTATGTTTATGTTTGGTTCATCACAACTGTACAGCTAAGCTGATATAGTTAGTTCAGGCACTAAGAATCGTCGCTATACACACAGTCAGCTGGCGGCTCCCTCACTCGTTCAAGGTCACACGCACTAAACTTTCTCCCCCAACAATACTGTTTGCAGTGTTATTACCCTATATACACATATTATATATAAGTATCTACATGTTGTATGCACCGTAACTGTACACCTAAGCTTGTAGGGTGCATAGTGGCCACCCTCTGCACAACCAGACAAATCATGCAGACGACGTCACCTCCGTCACCCAAATGGCTCCTCCCAGCATAATCCTTTTGCTGTTATTACACTAATACACACATTATATATAAGTATCTACATTTGTGTTCACCATAGAGAACCACTGAGCTGGCATGGTGAATGCAGAAAATAACAGGTGGCCACACAGTCAGTAAACGATGCAATCTCCCTCCGTCTCTCAGCATAACTCGTCCCACAGCACTAATTATTACAACAATCCTGCTACTATCACAACCCTGGTTATTTATATCACAGTCAGGGGTCATCTGTAATATTGTCATCGCTAAATAATAGCAATTATATATTTATTTCGACATTTTTCGGCGATGCTGTGGTCACAAGCTGAACAGCAATACTGTTCGCTCGTGCTGCGTGCGCCGGCCTTGGTTGCTCCAACAGTACTGTGCCTCTCACACCTGAGAATATTGCCCTCGATTTTTGTAAAAAATGGCGTCTGTTTACAAGAGCCCTGAGGAAGCAAATGTGAACCCCGTTTAGCCGCGGCCCATTTGAATCGGGCCTGGCACCCTTGGGTGTATGTATACGCCATGCGCACGGTGGGACATTTTACTCAGGGCGTATATATATGCCATGCGCAGTTTAAGGGTTAAATACCATATTAATATCCCCTTCCTACATCCACTCGACCCATTTTAGCCTAATTAAACGTCTAGCCATTTCCAACATTCAGTCCTCATATAACCTACCCATTTTAATTTTGCCCCGAGGGGCGAGTTTATTGGGCAGCGCCACTCACTCTGTGAGTGGACACGCGACCATAGCAGCATGTACAACACTCCCCAAAACGAAGGAAACCCGCTGGGTTGTTCATCCTGTCACTTGTACCCAGACACAGCTGGGACTTGCTTAACTGTCTCAAGTGAACAGCTCCTCAAACATAGTAGATTAACATCTGTCAACCCTTATAAGCTTACGTTATCTTGCGGGTGCAAAATGGGGGAATCTTTTAAGAACAGTTTCAATATTTGACACATAGTGTTTTCCTAACCCAAACAATGTGGGGTTCATTATTCTACACATATTTCTAATGTCTCTCAGGTATTCACATTCACGTAGATAGTGTTCAAGCCGGTGTCCGTCACTTTCATCACAAGTTCAGC